GATGCAGGCACGTGACATAAACTCAGCCTTGCCCTGCCCAGTGCTGTCCTCCAATGCCAGGGGAATGGAATGCACAAGGACCTGACAGGACCCTTCAGCCCCTGAGTGCTGCAGGATGAACTCCAGAATCCCTGAGCTTGGAAAAGCCCTTCCAGACCTTTGACTCCAACCTGTGCCTGAACCCCACCTTGTCACCAACCCAGAGCACTCAGTGCCACGTCCATCACTCTTTGGAAACCTCCAGGGATGGCAACTCCACCACCTTCCTGGGCAGCCCCTTCCAAAACCTGGCAATTTCCATCAAGAAATTCCTCTCGATGCCCACGACAGCACAGGGGATGCTGCTGCTGCTGCCCCGAGATGCTCCCGTTGTCCGGGATGTCCCCGTTAGCCCCGGGATGCGCCCTCTCCCCGTGCCTTACTTGTGGTTGCGGTTGGGCACCGCCTGCGGCTGCACCTGCTGAAGCTGCTGCGGCGCCGGCCGCTTGCGAGCCTGGTCCAGCCCGGCCTGCGCCAGCGCGGGCCGCACGGCTGGGCTCCCACCGTACCCGGGAGGACCCATGGCCGGGCCCTGCGGCGCCAGGCGGCCGCCCGGCAGCATCCCGGGGCGCTGCGGAGAGAACAGAGCCGGTCAGCGCCCGGGGGTCAGGGAAGGGAACGGGGACCTTGAGGGGTGGGATTGGGGTGCAGGGTCTGAGGGATCGGGGGGAGGGGATCGGGGACCTTGAGGGGTGGGATTGGGGTGCGGGATGGTCCCAAACTCTGGGAAGTGTTGGGGGTTTCAGCCCCCGCTCCCCGGCCGTGATTACAGCCCCGTTCCCTGGTGCTGGAGCCTCCCTTGCTCGGGGATGTGCTCGGAGGGAGGTGGATGTGCCTTTCCCAGGGATGGCATGTGCAGGTGGGGCAGTGACACCCCTCACCTGAGCTGCCCTCCGGAATTCAGGAGGGATTTCTCCATGGAAAGGGGGGTGAGGGGCTGCCCTGGGAGGTGGTGGAGTCGCCATCCCTGGGGACGTCCAGGGAACAGCTGGATGTGGCACTCAGTGCTCTGGTGGGGATCACTCCCCAGTTTGGACTTGGTGATCCTTTCCAGCCTCAGGGATTCTGGGATCTTAGGGATGAAGTTTATGGGGCAAACAAATGGCCATGAATGGGCCCAGTTTGTGCAGGTTCAGGCAGAGCACCAGGAAAAGGATTCCTGTCTCCCCTGGGCTTCCTCAGAGAGCAGGAGGCTGGAGTTAAAGGCCACTTTCTGCAAGTATTAACATTAAGTTCCTTCTCCCTGAAGCAGTTTCCTGTGCTCAGAGAGAAGGGGGACACAAACCCAGTCAGCATTAATCCACGGAAAAAGCCACATGCGCAGTCACACCACGAGTATTAATTAAACAATTAACGATGATCATCTGATGAGCGCTGCCTCCAGCCTGGGGGTCCCAGCACAGGGAGGACGAGGAGCTGCTGGAGTGAGTCCAGGATGATCCGAGGGATGGAGCAGCTCTGCTGGGAGGAAAGGCTGGGAGAATTGGGGTTATTCAGCCTGGAAGGGCTCGGGATGACCTCATTGTGCCCTTCCTCCTTTCTCCTGCCCCGAGGGTTTGGTGGAACAGCTTTGGAAATGCCTGCCCTGCACCTGCTGGTGGCTCCATGGAAACTTTGGTGCCCAGCCAGCCTGGCTCTGGCTGCAGGACAGCAGGACAGCAGCACCGGGGGCTGTGGCATTGTCCCTCAGCGCCTGTTGCCACCGGCAGCCAGCGAGGGGGGACTGGGAATTCTGGCCCACCAGGGGAGCTGCTGGAATCTCGGCATCTCCACAGAGCCTGAGCGGGCTGGGTGTCTGCATGGGCTGAGGCTGCCTGGATCCGGAACGGGCTGAGGGTCCCTGGATCCTGATCAGGGTGAGGCTGCCTGGATCCCGATCAGGGTGAGGATCCCTGGATCCCGATCAGGGTGAGGCTGCCTGGATCCTGATCAGGGTGAGGATCCCTGGATCCCGATCAGGGAGAGGCTGTCTGGATCCTGATCAGGGTGAGGATCCCTGGATCCTGATCAGGGTGAGGCTCCCTGGATCCCGACATCAGGGTGAGGCTGCCTGGATCCCAAACAGCTTCAGATCCTGAGCAGAGGATCCTGAACGGTGCAGGTGCCCAGGTCTCACAGCCTGGAGCTGCATCCCCACCCGGCTGACGTTCCCAGCCCACTCCTGATGCCCCGAGGGACGCGATGGAGGCTTGTGCCTGGACAGAGCAGCTTCTGCACATCCCGCCGGTCCCGGCCGGATTCCAGGGGAATTGCAGGGCTGTGCTGCCCCTGGGGCTCCGAGAACTCCCCGGAGCCCCGGAGAGCCACGCTGTGACAGATGGCCGGGGTGAGCTGCTCCCAGCCCAGCCAGCAGGTCCTGCGGGGGATTACAGCCCCAGCAGCCGGGAGGGAGCGGGCAGGGCTCGGCTGTGATTAATCGGGTTCATTAACGCCCTCCTGGCCCGGCCTTCTCCTTCCAATCCCACCCCTGGCCTTTGCAGCTCCAGCCAGAGCAGGGTGAGAGAGCTCTCGTTGAGATGCAAAACTGCATTTCTGCCATTTCCAGGAGCCAGGGGACATGGTCAGAGCCAGGGGAGCAGGGGAGGGTGGGTGTGGGTGTGCGTTGGCATTTCAGCGTTCCCTGCCCACTCCCACTCCCTATTATTCAGTCTCCATGGAGTCCTGAGGGCTTTTTTTGGATGCCCACTGTTGGATCTGCTCTGTTGTTACTATTGCTCTTTGTAGCTGGGAATTTTTAGGACAAAAGGTGTGTGTTATATTCGGGTTGTGCTCCCAGGGTGAAATTCCACCTGGTGACTCCTGTCGGACCTCAGGTGGGTCCCAAAGCACGGGGGCGCTGGAGCTGTCAGGGATTAACAGCTCTGTGAGTGTTAATTCTCCTTTCCCTGCTGGGAGCAGGAATCCCCTCCCTCCTCCAGCCCTGTGTTCCTTGGGAAGGCAGCGAGGCTGGAGGCACCGGAGCTCCCAGGAAAGGGAGGCTCAGCTCAGCCTCAGCTCTGACCCAGGGCACACCCAGCTCATGAAGTCTTTTTCTTCCCCTTCCCTTTCCCTTTTTTTTCCCCCCCTTCCCTTTCGGCTCCATCCCAGGATAAGGCTGTCCCCACCTGCCTCCTCAGGGGAGCATTTCCAGCAGCTCAGCGAGAGAGAAAGGCTCGGCGTGGGGGAGTTATATCATTTATATCATTCTTTATATCATCGTTGTTAAGAGTAGCAGGTATTGATGTACAATGCATCTGTCATCTTATTGTGCTTCCTATGAAAATGTGTGTACATAGTACAGATACCGGAGAGAATTCCACACTTTATACACTTGAAGGCATTCAGAGATCAGTAACAGAAAAAAAAAAATGGCACAAGAACAAGGCCTAAATGCTACTGGATGGGTATCTACACTGGCATGATGCATATAGATATATATATATATGTACACATATATATATAGTCATATATATTATATATAAGAAATATAAAATGCCGATGACATAACAAAAAAGCGTTTTCTTCAACAGGTAAGCCTCAAGGTCAAATCCCAGCCCCATCTTTAAAAGCTTGAATGGGAAAGAGAAAGAAAGAAAATAAATAAATGAAATGTGGTGAAACATTAGGAGAAATCCATAAGAAAATTTATGGATGTGGCTGACCCGTCGTCTTTGGGTGATCGCTGGATACAAAGGACTGACCCCCAGTTCCTAATTTTGGTCAGGAAGCAAATAATAAGAATAAAAATGACAAGAATAAAAATGAAAACTGCAGTTTAGAAAAGAAAATTACTAAAAAGACTTATTGCAAAAGCTCTTAAAGATAAGTAGCACTTGGGCCCGGGGAGGGCTCTGGCCTGGGGGCTGAGAGACGGGCTGGGGGGACCAGATGGGGACCCCAGAGGGGACTGGTGGGCACTGACAGGCTCGGGGGGCAGTGGCCCAGTGGCCACGGACCCCAGCCAGGGCAGGGCTGTGCCAGGGAGGGGCAGCAGAGGCCCTGGGACCCCACAGACACCCCAAACCCCCCGGGGCAGTGGCTGTTGGGGCTCAGTGGGGCTGGAGCCCCAGAGCCCCCCGTGAACCCCAGGGGTGTGGGGGCTCCGGTGCCTGCCCAGCCACGGTGGTGCCAAGGGGACAAAAGGGGCCAGGGGCTTCCTTGTGCCCCTCTCCCCGAGGATGGCTGGGTCTGGGGGCACAGGTTTCCCTGCGGATGGGAGGGACCGCGGGGCAGTGCTGGAGCTGGCCAGGCTGCCCAGAGCCCAGCAGGGGCGGGCAGGGAGGGACAGTGCCCGGTGTCCTCAGAGCTGAGCTGGCACCTCCCAGCTGAGCCCCCTCCGGTGCTCCCGGGGCTGCTCCCAGGGCTGATCCCGGGGCTGATACCGAGGCAGGGGCCAAGGAAGACGTTCTGGACAGGTGGAGGTGCCGCGTCTTTGTGCCGGGAGCGCCCGGGTAAGCCGGGGCTGTGGTCCCAGGGGACTGAGGTGCTCTCCGGGGACTCCCAGCCAGCTTCCCTGTGCCGGGCACACCGGAGGCTTCCCGATGAGCCCCCACCAGGCACAGGGGGCCCGGCAGGCACGGCCAAGGCGTTGGAGTAGGATGAGCATGGAGACGACGGAGGACAGACGGACAGGGCTGTGGATGGAGACTGCGGCCGAACGGCTGCTTCTTCTTGGCTTCTGGGTTTTAGTTAAAAAGGCCGAGGGGAGCCAAGGGGGAGCCGGGGCAGGCCCGTGCCCTGGCCCACTGTGCGTGTCGCTCCCGCTCCGCGGGACGGCCGGGCTGGAGCATCCTGGAGTCTCTGAAGGAGCAGGGCAGGCGCAGAGCAACCGCCGCGGGGGCTGCGCCGGGGTCTGGCAATGCCCGACCCCACTGCCCGCCCCGAAATACGAGGCCGTCACTCTTGTCCATGTCCCACCGTGCCGAGGAGCAAAGGCCCCCTAGATGTGTCTCTCCGCTGGCGCTGGCGGGGAGAAGGGCAGCTCTCGCAGGGCTTTGGTAGCTCAGGTTGTACATCCAGACGTCGGTTAGCAGGTGAAGTCCTCAAAGGTGCCCCGGGCCGGGTGGTGAGGTAGGATGTTGGCTGCATACGTCATGCCTGCTGGGTGCCCCCGTATGCTTTCACAGGGATTCTGCAGGATAAACGGGATGCTGGAGCCGCTGCTTTCATCCAGGTCCTTGCAGAGACACAGCGCCATCCCCCCATAGCGTCTCTGCCTGGGCCTTCTGCTCCTTTCCCAGGGGTTCCCCAAAACTGTGACTCCCCACCCCTCAAGCTGCAGGAGAGGACAAGCAGGATGGGACAGGCAGGAGGGGACAGGCAGGCGGGGACAGGGACAGGCAGGAGGGGACCCTGCTGTGCCCCACACTCACGTGGCGCTTCACGTCGTCCATGCTCAGCGCGACGCCCTTGTCTGTGTTGTTCCTCTTGTGGTTCTTGCGGCACTTGCCCCGCCGGCACAGCCGGTGCTTTATCACCTGCCAGAGCCACATTTCAGCGCCGTGGGGCTCACAGGTGGCCCTTCCCCACGTCCCAGACAGGCACAGCCTTGGGATGGAGGAGACACTCACCTCATAGGCGTAGTCAAACAGTTCCAGCACTGTGAGGATGCTGGCCCCAATGAACAGCCCCATCTGCCCTCCAATGTCACCTGCAGAAGAGAGGGAAACCATCAGGGTGGCCTGAGTCCAGAGTCGGGTGGCAGAGGGAACAGAAAAAGGGCAGAATTTGTCACCGCTGTGGCTGGTGCCTGCTCATGGCAGTGGGGTGCCCTGCTCCACATCTGAGCTCTTGGCACATCCCGGTGCCTTGGGAACAGGCCATGGTGACAGGGCCAGCATGAGGCCACCTCACTGGGGGACTCTGCCTGGGGACTGCCCCAGGGCTCCCCACAGCCACCAACACTCACCCAGCAAACCTGCCACCTCGTACGCCTTCTTCTGCTCGATCGTCTCGTAGTTCAGGGCTTCAAAGAAGATATCCAGCACCAGGATGTTCTCCCTGTGCAGGAGAGAAGTGGCATCAGGCTGAGGTTTGGGATGGAGGGACCAGACCCTGCCCCACAACCACGGTGCCTTACCCAATGTACTGCTCTGACTTGTTGTACTTCTTGGCCAGGTACTTGGCTGAGGCCTTGCTGGGGATCTTGACCATGGAGAGCTCTTTGCCGTAGCGGGTCATGTTGCAGGGCATCTCACAGATGCAGTACTCATTGTCCTTCTCCACCAGGAAATCTGTGCAGGGAGAAGAGGGGAGATGAAGAAACCCAACACCGCAGCTCCGTCCCACCCACGGGGCCGGGCAGCCTCACCTAAGGCCGGATCCGCGCACTCCTTGTACTGCTCCGGGGTGCAGTAAGGGGCATCGCCTGGGGAGACACAGAGCAGGTGTTCCAGGTGGGAGCACACTGGGGGCTGGGCCGGGGCCAGGCCAGGCACGGGGCTCACCTGGCATGTGCACCATGCGGCAGTTGCAGTTCTCCACCAGGTAGCGGGTCTCGCAGTCGATCCGACACGCCGTGATGCTGTAGGTGTCGTAGAACTCCGAGTCGCCCGCCACGGCCTTGCAGTCGCCCCAGGGAGGTGGCAGGTAGATGAGCTGGAAGGGGAGAGAAGCCAGGAGTGAGGAGAAGGTCCACAGGATGGAGTCCTCCCCTCCATCCAGCGTGAGGACGGGGCACAGCGAGGAGGCTCTGCTCCCCCAGCGCAGGGTGGGAGGGGACATCCCACACCTGCCCCATTCCTACCCGCTGCTCCTGGCAGGACACAAAGGTCTGGAAGCCGGGAGCCACCCCGAAGCCCAACTGGTCGATCAGAGGGGGCTCATCCTGGCTGTGGATCTGCACCTTGATCCCGGCTTCGAACGAGGTCTCATCTGTGGCAGAGAAAAGTGGGGTGAGCACAGCGCTGTCCCTGCTCCGAGGGGCTGTGCTGAGCCTGCTGTGAGAGGGACCACAACTTCTGCCTCCCACGCTTCCCCTGGCCCAAGTCATTCATCCACGTGTCCATCCATCTGTCCATCTGTTTGCTGCACCACGTCCTTGCCCCCTCCACCCCGACCCCCCTGCTCCACACCCAGGAATGTGGCAGGGAAAGTATTTGACTCTATTTATAAACAAGTGATGGCTGCGTGTCTAAACGATGGGGAGTTGCCATGGCAAAGAGCAAAGACAAGGAGGAAAAGGGAAAGAAAAGACCAGAAGTGATGAGAAATGGAAGGAGGGAAGAGAAGGGAGCCCAGGGATGTGGATCTGTGGTCTGGGGAGCTGGGAAGGGGCTGGGAAGATGAGTAGGGACTGGGCAGCACCCCAGGAGCTGCTGGTGACTGAGTGGGCCTGCTGGAGCAGTGGGTTACCTGTTTCCCCCCACACTGGCAGGTACTCGTCCTGCTGGATGTCCAGCATGATCTCCAGGCCGTTGCCAGTGCCCCCCTTCATGGTGATGAGCCGGGGCTTCCCGTCCTGCCCCGCATTGAAGGTGTAGCACTTCCCATAGCGGGTAAAGACCTGCAGGAGAGGACACAGGGCTGAGGCTGAGGCCCCTCTGTGTGCAGACACAGCACGGAGCCAGGAGAGCATCCCCAGCCCCAAAACTCAGCCATCCCAGCCTGGGCATGGTCCAACCTGGGCTCCTGACCCACGGGATCTCTCAGTGTTGGAACTGCCCATCCTGGCCCTGGTAGAGGAGGAGATGTTCCCACAGGGATGGGCTCAGAGGAGACACTGCAGATTTACAGCCCCAGAGAGCCCATGGCAGCTGTGGCTCCCCAAGGTGGTGGCACTCAGCCTGATGCCTGCACCGGTGCTTCCTCCAAGCCCTCCTCCATCCCTGCAGAGGACGGGGCTGGACGGGATCCTGGACCCCCCCATCCCTCCTTGGCCTTTCCAGCTCTCGCCTCCGGCAGCCGGCACGGCCCCAAAACCACGGAGCTGCTGCCAGCCTGGGCAAGGGGCACGTGAGGGCAGTGGGCTCACACCACATGGTGCCCCACAAACCCTGATGGCACCAGGATAGAGGTGCCAGGCACCTCCTCAGCAAGCACAGCCTCGCGGATACGCTCCGTGTCCCACCAGAGCGTCTCCACAGCCAGTGCTTGTCCCTAGCTCCGGCAGATGGGGCTGAATATCAGCCTGTCCCCGAGCAAGCTCCAAGGGCAGCATCACCTGCCGTGCCTGATCCGATCAGCCCCGGAGCTGCTCCCCGTGCCGGGCCACCCTGGGGCTACTCACCGGCGCAAAGTCCCCGGGGCCGCAGCGCTGGCCACGGTAGCTGCAGCTCAGCAGCATGTCCTCCAGCTGGTGGCAAGTGCGGTTAAAAAACCCGTACAAATTTAGGGGCTCGTCCTCCTCCCAGGGGCCGGGCTGGGCTGGGGTGAAGCCCAGCTCCATCCCAGGCTCGTAGTCAACAAGAGGGGCCAGGTAGAGCAAGTCCTGGTGGCTGAGCTGCGAGAGCCGCACACGGTTGATGTTGCAGAAGGTGACGGCGGGGAAGGTCATCTCGGGGCTGTCCTCTTCGCTGAGCAGCGTGACGTGGTGGTACTCCAGGTAGTAGGCGATGCGGTCGGCCACCTGGTAGAGGAAGACGGAGAGGGAGAGGAGGAAGGCCAGCGCCCACAGCGCCTGCCGGGCGCCCAGGCTGCCTTCCACGAAGATGTGGCTCAGCCCGTGCAGGGTGCAGCTGCTGGCAAAGGCCACGAAGTCCGTGGTTGCCCCTGCGTCCTCCTCGTCCTCTTCATCCTCCTCCTGCCCATATAGGAACTCGTCTGCTTCATCTTCTCCCTTCCCAGTGGCTGCAGCGTCTTCTGGTGCTTCCTCACTGGAGAAGGAGATGGTGCAGAATATCTGGAGAGGCATTGCCCAGCCTGGGGGTCCCGGCTGTAGTGTGGAGGTCCTGGCTCTGGTGTGGGGGTCCTGGCCCGTGCCCTGCCCCAGCCTGGTGGTCTTCAGTCAGTTCCTCAGCAGAGAGGGGCTGGGGAGAGCAGGGGAGGGGGAAGGGGCAAGTTCAGAAAGGAGAAACGGAGAAGGGAAAAGGAGTGAGGCGAGCGGGAGTGAGGGAGAGGAGCAGAGGGATGCTCGGAGCGAGGAGGGTATATCAGGAGCAGGAGGGGAGGAGGAGCGAGGGGCGGTTCCGCGGGCTCCCCGGGCCCCCCGGGACCCGCCGGCTCCGGCTGCCAGGACGGAGCAGAGACATCACCGGCTGCAGAGGCGCCGTGGGAGCTCCCAGTGCTGCCTGGGGACCCGAGGGGCTGCCGGGGGTGGGCACACGGTGTGTGCAGGTGTGCAGGTACCCGGCGCTGCATCCCCACGCCGTGCCCTCCATCCTTGTGTGGTCTGGCCCTGGCAGCCCAAGCAGCTGCTCCAGCCAGGCCCAGCCCTCCCTGCTGGGTCCCCGGCTGTCTCCAGAGCCGCCGTGTGCCAGGCTCTCTGCACTCCTCCCCAGGGCAGCAGGAGCCAGAGGTTTTCCCAAAATGCCTGTGACACTGTCCTGGTTCAGTGGCGGTCCAGGTGGGGAGAAGGATGCTGTGGTGTCCTCAGGCTCCTGTGATGCTCCTCCTGCCCTGGCACTGCCCATCCCTACAGGCTCATCCCCCTGTGCCGCAGGGCACCGGCGTGTGCACGTGAGAATCCGGCAAATCCAACGTTCCCGGTGGTGTGAGGTCTGTCCTTCTCCAAGCAGGGCTGGTCTTGGCAGGATTTGGGTGCTGTCCAGGCAACGAGTCCTTCTGCAGAGCCCAGTCAGTGCTGGCCACGTCACCTCATGTTTTGGGTTCCAGTGGGACACAGGGAGCCACCTCTTCCCTCAAGGAATGGCATCCAGGCTTTGTGCTGTTGAACCAGGCGGGCTGAGGGTCCCAGGGAGCAGCTCTGGTGCAGGATGCTGGGATGGAGCTGCCGGGAGCACAAGCATCTCCTCTCTGCACAGCACAGCCCCTTCTCGTGGTTTGCTGATTTCCTGTACTCAGCACTTCATAAAAGCATCCAGAGACCACAGAGCAATCTCCAGCCCCATCCCGGCACCGGGGGAGAATCTAAATCCGGCAGCACTTGGATGTGCAGGGGCTGGATGGGAGCTTTGGGCTGGTGCCTGGATGGGAGCAGCTCACCCAAAGACCTCAGTTCAGCTGCTGTGTCTCCTTCCCTGTGCACTCTGCAGGGTTCCTGGTCCCTGAGCACATCCCAGCGCACATGGACACCACAAACTGGGAGAACAACTCAGTCAGGAATCAGTAAAAATCTGATCTGATGCCAGTACAATATCTGAGATCCCTGGGCAGGTGATGATGCTGGAACAGGCGCTGGGGATCCCTGCCAGGGGCAGTGATTCATGATGTGACAGTGGGGTGTCCTGTCCTGGGGCTCCCCAAGCTCAATATTCCTTTCAATAGGGCCCTTGTGTAAGAGGGACACTGGCAGATGCCACTTGGGGACCTGGGAGAAAGAGTGGATGACCTTGGGGACGAGTGCCAGAGCCACTGGATGAAATTTCATCAGGCCAAGATCAAGGTTGCACCTTTTGGGAGCATCCCAGAGAATCTGAGATGAAAACTTTTCCTGGACAAGAGAGTCAGGAAGATGAATTGGGTGCCTGGGAGCCACCAGGACATGGGGGCCAGCTCACAGGTGCCCTGTGCCTTTGGTGGGGATGAGCTGCAGCTGCAGGGCAGGGCTGTGACAGCATCAGGGCTGCTCCTGGCAGGGGGTTTGGAAGAGCTGGGCTGGTTCAGCCCTGTGGGAGCAGCCTGGGAACGCACTGGGCTGATCCCACCCAGGCTGGCACGGAGGATGCTCGGGACAGCGAGGAGCAGGTGAGGGCTGCCCGGGGTTGGGGGGGTTTCTGCTGCTCCCAGCTCTGACACTGAGTTCCTGTGCCATGGCTGTTGTAGGGAGAGGAGAAGGGAAGCGGAATTAAGGAATTGCAGGTTGAGGGGGTTGTTCAGCCCCGGCAGGGCTCGGACAGGTGAGCGGTGCCGCCCGGGGCCATCAGGCAGTCCCCGATGGTGCGAGCGAGGGGCGGATCCGCTCCCTCGGCGCGGGGAGGTTTAATGTGTCTTCTTGGGAGCGATTGCAGCAGGAAGAGAGAGAGAAAGATGCTGTAATGAAAACATTCCATCATCGACTGGGGCCGTTAACCTGCTTCGCTCGGCTTAAACAGCTCGCGGGATGCGCCGGGGCTGGATCCCAGCAGCAGGGCCCGGCTCCGGTTACCGCCACCTGTCCCAGCGCCGACACCCGAGCCGGGGTGAAGGTGACCGGGGACAGCCGCAGCCTGGAGCACGGTGGCACCAGCGCCAAGGGGAGCGCGTCCTGACCCCCAGATTGGGGTCAAAGTGCGGCCGTGTGTTGCAGGCAGGGGGGTGCCGTCCTGGTTTGTGCAAGTTTTGGAGATGCTGGAGGAGTCCTTGGGCTCGTTCCAGCTCCTCCCTCGCCGGGAGTTATTTTTACCCTCTCTCAGGTAAAGCTTTGGCGGGGGCGAGGGACGGGGGATGCTATAATTAGCCGTGACATCAGCCCCCGTGGCGGGTGCTGGGGTGATGCCGCCACACCCGAGCCGGCGCTGGGACCGGGGATGCTCCGCGCCCTCCTCCCCGCCCCAGTGAGAGGTGTGGGATGGGAGGAGGAGATGGGTTTTTCCTGCCTCCAGCACCGTGTTTGGCCACTGTCCCGGGGCTGTTCGGCCCCGCTCGCTGCTCTGCGGCTCCTCACGGGCCTGGGAAAGGAGGTTTCCCGGAGCGGGGGAGCACGGAGGCGGCGGGGGGGAAGCGGGAGAGGGATTTGACGGCAGCAACAGCACATTTCACAGCCTGTCACGCTTTAATGGCAGAGGAGATCAAAGCCGGGATGGAGTTATTCATAGAGATAAACCAATCCCCGAGGAGGCGAGGAGAAAACAACATTGCAAGCTCTGTTATCCCAGGTCTCCGAGCCCCGGGGAGGCTGTCGCCGAAAGCGCCCCGGGAGCTGGACCCGCTCGGTTTTGTGACGGGCACTGCCCATCCCTGCCAAAGACTGGCTGAGCCGGGGCTGAGCTGCCCACGTCATCCCCGGGGGTGCCCGGAGGTCGGAGCTGGCTGCTAGGAAGGGGTGGGATGAGGGGTGGGATGAGGCAGCCAGAGCAGCACGTGCAGGTGGACGTGTGGGGCAGATGGAGACCCCACGGCTGGGCTGTCCTGCTCCCACCACGCACCCGGGTGTGCCAATCCACAAAGGGAGAAAAATGAGGTTTTCCACGTGTCTTGGCCCAGGGAGGTGCTTTGCAGCTCCCAGAGCTGCCAAGATGGAGGTGGAGGCACCGGCAGCGCTGCCACCGCCGCTCCGGGCGGGATGAGCCGCTCTGGGACGGCTCCAGGGCTGCAGATCCCTCCCTGACCCTGGCGAGAGACACAGCAGAGGCAGCCAAGCAAGGTGGGATTGCCCGGGCAGGCGGGATCTGTGCCGGGACTAATCCCGCACCCCTTATCAGATGCTGCCACCTTGCCTCGGCTCGCTCCGCCAGCCAAGCCGGGCGC